GATTCAATTCGAGCCAAATCTTGTATGCCTTCTGCGGTATAAAGGATCCCAACACTGATCTAATCAAATATGTGCTCATAAACTGGGTATTAATTGTCATTCATTTACTTACTGTATATCATTGTATCACATGTTTTAACAATCGGTTGTTTCCAAAGCAAGGAGAAGGAGCTCCTCTTCAACGCAAAGGTGTCTGTATTAACCATTTCCGTGATGTCAACGACTTCTTCAAAGGCTCGCATTTGACGATAAATGCCAGAACTGAAGAAGAGGTCGAACCGGATGTGATTTTAAGCAAAATAGCAAAAGTTTCGACAAAAGTAAACCTAAAGGAGAGGTCAGAGATCAATGAAAACATAAGTCCTGTCGGAACCAATTATCGAAGAGTTCAGCCCCAGAGAGAGATCAGTCAAACGGATAGAGAAGAGTTCTGGGCTAAGACTCAGGAGGAAGAGAGACTCCGACTCATCGAAGACAAGAAGAAATTGAATGACAATAGGATTAAGTCGGAGAAGGAGAGGGAGGAGAGAGAGATGAGAGAAGCGAAGCAAAGGGATCTATCGGTTCGGGAAAGGGATGCAAACATTATGCAAATATAATTAAATATCAATTGAATGCACTTACTATAACTAAATGTAATTCATAATTTGGTGACTACCATGGTTGTTTTAGACAATTCTGCTTGACATGCAAACTAACAGTGAGTATGAATTGTTATTCTGTTGTCAATATTATTGAATGAGTGTCACATGAATAGCATAAATAATGTTTAACTTTTTGGGACAGAATAACTCCAATTCAATCAGTGTTTGCAAAAGTTTTATAACGTTTTATAACTAATTACTAAATATTATATTAACTTAATTATATACTTTATTAATTTTATTGGTAATTAAAACTATGGAAATTTTTACAGTAAGAGCATTTAATTCATTTTATATATGTTAAACTTTTAAATATTTTCATAACTGTTCCAACTAGAGTCTAGTTACTAGACTATTGTATCTAAAACCTTGTGTTAGAATCTTGTATATCATAAGATGACTTTTAAAAATCATACTGTCTTATTTTCCCCATGGTAAATTTGTACAGTGATAGTTTGAAATGACAATTAGCCTTAAGATAAATGCTTAATCATATAACATGTTATTTGCCATCAAATCACATTTGGTGAATGAAAATAACATGACAATTAAAAAACACTTCATCCTAAGACTTAGGACCCAAGTCTACCGTAATAGTATTATCCTGATTATGCTAAATGACTTTTAAATTTAAAATTATCTTTAAGAATATGATTAAACTATTATCACTAAAATCGTTATATTTGTATCAATCTCATATTATATTGTGTAACAATTGTTATTTATTCTTGAATTTATAATTTCATATGATTTATATTAAAAATGGTACTCAATACACTATATAATATGTACACTATATAACACTTTAGGTTAAAAACAATTTAACTAACATTACCGTATAATTTATATTATTATTCAACAGATTAACTAAATTTAAAATGAATTGGTACAATTGAAATTAATCTTGCCTATATTGAGTTGCATAAAATATTTAAAACTTTATTTGCTATAAAAACTCACAAAAACTAAACAAATTCTAAAAATATAAATTAAATAAACATTTTCTTGATAAATATATGAAATTAATGTTTAATAAATGTTAAGATATCTAATGCTGAGTCGATGTCACGAAATGGTGATAAAATAATTGGTGATAAGATTTAAACGACATTCTATACGAACTCAAGTGCTTTTCAGTTTATTGTCATTAATTCATTATAAATTGAAATAAATAGTGTAGTAAGTCAACGGGATATTAAGGGAAACAACATTTAATTAAATAATCGTGAATTGTGTGTCATAATGGATGCGTTGCTAGTGTTTGATCCGCAAAGCAATTTGATTTCAAGTAAATGTAATAAACAATTTGAAAACTATTTGTTTAAGTTTGCGATCGAAAATGGATTCAAATTTGATATGAATGAGGTTAATGACAACCAAGTGTTTAGAAACTTGTTATCAGTATTAGTCACACCTTTCGTGGTATCTCAAAAATATCTGACCGATGTCTCGGCAGTCAAATTTGATTGCATCGGAAGTTTGAATGCCGTCTATTCTAAGGTGACATACATTTTCAATACTTAAATTTTAATAAATTTAATACATTTTCCTATAATTTATCATTTAAATGATTCATTTATATAGAATCAAGAATTCTTTTTGCTTTATATTTATAAAGAATCAAATGATAGAGTTTTGATGCAAAGGAGAGTCAATATATTCGCACAAATTATTCAATTTATTTTCGGTCCTCTCATCAATTGCTTAACAAATTATTATCATTTAATGGAAATTTCATTTAAAATGATTGATGAATGGAAAGCATTGAGTCTTACAATGACTTTCATGTTAGAAGTGAGTCTTCAGACAATTCTTTATACTATGTTACAAAATTGTCATATCTTTTAAAATGATTTATATTTCTATTTATTTTATATTATAAACATTTTTAATTTAGTCAATTGAACGTCTTTTGGTTGGTTCTGACTTAATCACCATTTGTAACACTACTTTGCAAACCATATTAAGTCGGATTCGTATGATTTCTAAAACTTCTAACGAGACTATAAGTCATGTATACCTCTTCTATGGATTCAAATATATTACATCATATTCGAGGTCTTAATATGACTACTATTTTGACAGTTATAGTGATTGTTAAATTTAATAACTTTTAGCCGCAAAACAGCAAAGATCTCAAGAGGAGACATGCTTTTGATGGTTCTTCTCTCCCATACATTAGAGACACATTCGGATACTTTTGTTAACTGTAGAGAAGATTCTGACGATAAACTCTTATCAAGTCTTGAAAGAAGTTTCAAACAATTCATTTAATGGAAATTTCATTTAAAATGATTGATGAATGGAAAGCATTGAGTCTTACAATGACTTTCATGTTAGAAGTGAGTCTTCAGACAATTCTTTATACTATGTTACAAAATTGTCATATCTTTTCAAATGATTTATATTCCTATTTATTTTTATATTATAAACATTTTTGATTTAGTCAATTGAACGTCTTTTGGTTGGTTCTGACTTAATCACCATTTGTAACACTACTTTGCAAACCATATTAAGTCGGATTCGTATGATTTCTAAAACATCTAACGAGACTATAAGTCATGTATACCTCTTCTATGGATTCAAATATATTACATCATATTCCAGGTCTTAATATGACTACTATTTTGACAGTTATAGTGATTGTTAAATTGAATAACTTTTAGCCGCAAAACAGCAAAGATCTCGAGAGGAGACATGCTTTTGATGGTTCTTCTCTCCCATACATTAGAGACACATTCGGATACTTTTGTTAACTGTAGAGAAGATTCTGACGATAAACTCTTATCAAGTCTTGAAAGAAGTTTCAAACAATTGATGAATAAGCCGGTAAACAATAGTCAGACCAAATGCGATCATTATTTAGTATTTCTTCAGTCAAGTAAAGATCAGAATCTATTGATTCCTTACATTTATAGAAGACTCAAAATTGACGACCAATTGTTTGTCATAGTTTTAAGTGAAGTAATTTTTCTAACGACTAACTGTTTAATCACTTGAATCATTTTAGTAATCGCTTGAAAACAATCTTTACAAACAGATTCCGACTCAAATAGCAACCAATTTAATGGTATTAATAAATATAATAAATATTTTAATCAATGAGTCCAATGACAAGAAGTGTTGCCATACAGTCATTCAGTTACAGAATGCTATCAAAAGAATCAAAGATTTTATATTTCAAAACAACTTAACTAAAGATAAATCTTATATATCGACTCTAAACACATTGACTCGACTCAACAAATGCAAAATATTTGAATATTTAACAGATTTGGACCAAAATTTACTTAATTTTCAAACCGAAGCACAGCTTCAGCTCATAAATACCTCATTACGTGATAACTACAAGACATTGATATTTGACTTTTACAATAATCTTATTTCAAAATCAGAGTCTTTGCACAAAAATTTATTTAATGAGATCTCACTCTTTTGCAAAAATACTTTTACCGACTATTTGGGATATTTTACAGTTAAATCCCAGCGTAATATGACTTTATTAGGAATCGATATTCACATCAAAGATTTGATTGGATTTGTATATATTGATAGAACAGTGAATGAGATGATTATAGCTCCCATTGAGTATACAAGTGATGAAAGTGGTTCAGCGATAACTAGCAATCAATTTAATAATATGGCCACAAATATGATATCTCACGCCTACCATTCCCTTGTAAATGGTAAACTCATAAATATATGGAAGGATTCGATGTTTCAATATTCTTATGCCATTTGGTTTGAAGATTGTTCAGTGAGTTTTCATATAGACTTTTACGGTACTAACCATTAAATTGTATATAATTTCTTGTAAATAGGGCTCAACACTGGACCCAAGGGTAAAGAATTTCACACTGGAATTGTATCCAAGTATTATATCAGGGAATTTCATTCAGGATATAATAAATGCAATCTTTTGTAAAGATCCTAAAAGTCAGAATAGATGTCATATAACCGATAGCCAGAATTTTGCAAAAATACTTTTACCGACTATTTGGGATATTTTACAGTTAAATCCCAGCGTAATATGACTTTATTAGGAATCGATATTCACATCAAAGATTTGATTGGATTTGTATATATTGATAGAACAGTCAATGAGATGATTATAGCTCCCATTGAGTATACAAGTGATGAAAGTGGTTCAGCGATAACTAGCAATCAATTTAATAATATGGCCACAAATATGATATCTCACGCCTACCATTCCCTTATAAATGGTAAACTCATAAATATATGGAAGGATTCGATGTTTCAATATTCTTATGCCATTTGGTTTGAAGATTGTTCAGTGAGTTTTCATATAGACTTTTACGGTACCAACCATTAAATTATATACAATTTCTTGTAAATAGGGCTCAACACTGGACCCAAGGATAAAGAATTTCACACTGGAATTGTATCCAAGTATTATATCAGGGAATTTCATTCAGGATATAATAAATGCAATCTTTTGTAAAGATCCTAAAAGTCAGAATAGATGTCATATAACCGATAGCCAGAAGTCAACCGTTTCCTGTTATCCCTACGAATTATTCTGTATTTATAATACATCTATTAATTTAGATGAAAGTAATGCCATTAAAAACACAAAGAATTTGTCGTCAAAATTATGGGAAATTGGAATTTCATCAGAAATTTAATAAATTAGTTGTTAAATACTGTATAAATAAGTTATTAAAAGTATTAAATTGTAATGTAAAGTAGAGCTGCAATAAGAATAGTATATTAGACTAGTTTTACATTAAATTCATAATTAGTTGCAGGTTTTGATTAATTAAATGCATATAAAATGCTTTTACATAATTCATTATTTATATAAAAACCTTAAAACCAAAAGTAAAAAATAAAATATTAGAAAATATAAATTGTTCTGTAATCTAATGAATTCAAAACTTAATCAAATCAACGAATTACTTAAGAAAGTAGACAAAGAAATGTTAATTTGTTTAATCAATTAGTTCGACATAATTGGCCGGAAATAAGCCATAAGTGCCGTCGGGCGCCAATCCCTGCCACCACCCGGAGTCGATCTGTTCAATGTGTGTGATGAGGTCATCAGGGTCAAAGCTGATCTCAGTCTCGTCAGCTAAACAATGTAATCAATTAGAAACAATGGCACAATCACTGACTATAATGACTGACCGGCCTGGTAGTCGAACAGTGCGCGCGCTTTCTTCAGTCCCACTTCTGTCGCGTTTCCCTCCTTTCGATCCGATAATACATTTTCTGTGGAATCGTATTCATCTTCCACTCCATTATTCGGCTCTAAATTAACAAATTATATTCAATTATGCGATAAAACAGCTAAACAGATGCCATACCGTCCCACGTCTGCTCCTCAGCTATATCTTCGAGCGGATGATTATCAAGATATGTCTCCTGCAATAAATCTCTGGTATAAACACCGTTTGAAGTGTTATTATCGTGATCTCCATTAGTAGCTACCACTTCGTCAGGGCTCTCACTAATGGTTTCAATAGTTGGCTCAATAGTGGGCTCAGGAGAGGGTGGAAGAGCTGCTTCTGGCGCTTTAGTGACGGGCTCTTCGTGGCGGACGTCCTTTTGAAAGACAGTCGTCACAGTCTTGACATGATTTCCATTCACTTCATCGTTGATGGAAAGGCTTTGAATAGATTTAACGGCATTTTGTGTCGACACGTTTGAGACATTTGGCAAAGTTTTGTTGGATTCAAACAACTCTTTTCGATTGGAAACCAATTTGTTGTTCGACTGATTCGAGGGATAGGCGTTGCGAATGGCATTCATTTGTCCGGCGCTCGAGTTCTGCTCGAAGAGGGCGCGAGCCTTCTGTATAGAGCTCTGAGGGATCACTGCTTTCACTTCTTCGGCTCTTTCGCGCCTCAGGTTTTCACTTCTCTGACGCCTTTCGTTGTCGTCAACTGAATCCTTCCCAAGACTTTCGTTTTTGGCTGAATTTGTTGCGTTTTTCTCGGATTCCCTTATTTGCATAATGTTTGCATCCCTTTCCCGAACCGATAGATCCCTTTGCTTCGCTTCTCTCATCTCTCTCTCCTCCCTCTCCTTCTCCGACTTAATCCTATTGTCATTCAATTTCTTCTTGTCTTCGCTGAGTCGGAGTTTCTCTTCCTCCTGAGTCTTAGCCCAGAACTCTTCTCTATCCGTTTGACTGATCTCTCTCTGGGGCTGAACTCTTCGATAATTGGTTCCGACAGGACTTATGTTTTCACTGATCTCTGACCTCTCCTTTAGGTTTACTTTTGTCGAAACTCTTGCTATTTTGCTTAAAATCACATCCGGTTCGACCTCTTCTTCAGTTCTGGCATTTATCGTCAAATGCGAGCCTTTGAAGAAGTCGTTGACATCACGGAAATGGTTAATACAGATACCTTTGCGTTGAAGAGGAGCTCCTTCTCCTTGCTTTGGATACAACCGATTGTTAAAACATGTCATACAATGATATACAGTAAGTAAATGAATGACAATTAATACCCAGTTTATGAGCACATATTTGATTAGATCAGTGTTGGGATCCTTTATACCGCAGAAGGCATACAAGATTTGGCTCGAATTGAATCCATCGAAGAGTTCTTCTAACCCTCCGCTGCCCTTATCTTCAGACAAAATCATTCATTAGATAAGAGTCATAATAATTAAGAGATAACACAAACCAATGAGTTTTAAGTCATTTGTTTGCTTCTCGTAACCAAAGAGTGCCCTAAAATAGAGATAAACTCATTGTTTAGTCATTTGTACGAAGATTTCAATATCATCGACAATATCATACCAATTGGTGTTTGACTTATCATTAATCACTTCTTTATAGGCGGACACCATTTGGTCCCGATTTTTGTAGAAATTGACACTCATTTTGATGCAATGATACCACTCTTAGACACTATTATCTTAAATAAAAACATAAGTTTTGGTTATTATTAGGATTGAAGTCATTATACGAGTCATTGAGAAGTGATTTCAAACATTGCATGAAATGTGAGACATTTGTTGGACATTAGGTTAAGGGCACAGACTGTCACTAGTATTCATATTACCGGCACTTGTATTGCCAACAAATGGACACAAATTCGTGAAATGAATGATTATGTCATCAATAATATGAATATGAATTAAACTCACATGAAATGAATGGTCAGTAATAGTGCGGTGAATGTGTGAATACAATGCAAGCAATGATCACATCATGACTTCAGTACTAAGTCTTTCATCTACTTCTCAGTTATTGATTGAGTGATAGAGTGAACGCATGCCTAATGCCTACTGTCCTATCAGACCATACAATCATACCAGTGCTGAATCGCACAACCATTACATCCATTTGCAGTGACTGTCACTTTGTTGTTGTTATCACTGAATCACTGACACTGTTATGGCTGGAGATGGACAACGAACAGCCACATCAAGAACTCGTCAAATGTGTGGTCGTCGGCGACACTGCCGTCGGTAAGCATACCATCGATGATGTCTTCGCCCCTTTCCATCACTACATGTCTTGCATTGTCTCTATTGTGCATCACTTCAGGCAAGACACGACTCATCTGCGCCCGAGCCTGCAATTCACGACTTGATCTGAGCCAACTCATGACCACCCATATCCCCACTGTCTGGGCCATCGACCAGTACCGCATCCACAAAGAGGTACACCAATCACCTTACCTACAGCTCTCTCTCTCTCTCTCTCTCTCTCCCCTCTTCTCTCAATTTAATTTAATTTAATTTAATTTAAATGATAAGTTAATTGAACTGATTATACGTTAATTAAATAATAATTATATAACATTTGGTGCTAAATTGGTGGCAATTGTAGCACAATTGTAGCCCTCGTACAATGATACCAATTCTTATGCAAGTTATCTATAAATGTGTACAGAATTTGTTAGAGAATAGGATTCTGTATGAAACCTACAGTTCCTCTCAATGCTGTCTCAATAGCCCTCATCTATAGTGAGGACTCGGTTTGGCTATCAATTGGAGACAAAGAAAGAAATAATTGTTTAAATGAATGCTAAAAGAGATGATTTGATTGGCTTTAGTTTGATTTCGTTATGAATATATTTATCAAACAATAAAACATTTTCATAACAAGTGATGAAAATCATTAAACCATGGGTTCTATCGTTAGGCAAATGTTTAATGTTTTGAATGGGAATAAAAATAAACGATTAAATCATGGGTTCAATCATTTGTTTATTATTAATGCTTTATATCTGACATTCACTTAAAGAGTATCTCAAACGAGATAATGACAGACAGAAGAGACGGAAACCCCCTTTAAATTGGCAAATGAGAGGACCCGTCATGTCATGTGTTATGCAACGCTATATTAGTTTAGTCCAAGTCTTAAGACTTGAATTTGAACCGAAAAAATATGTTTACGATTTGTTGCTATCATTGAATATACAATATATGAGCGACACTTTGACATTAAAGCTGTGGTCACCTCTGCTTGTCTCTCAAGTTGTACTGAAAAACTCATAAATATTTATAATTCTCGGTAACTCTCATGTGTTAAGCCAATAGACTCGAGTATTCAATGCAATTGTATATAATAGTTGTGTGTTGATACAGTACTCAAATATTCAATTCAATTATTCTTAAAAAATGGTTTCATTTTGAAAGAATTTTTAATATTTTGTAAATTGTCTTCAAACACATGATCATCTTTATTGAGCCTATGGGGACAACCTATGGGGACAGCCCTCTGCTTCCCTCTAATCATTACTCCAAATGTTAAAGTTGTTGCTAACATAGCTTTGTATGATTCAGATTGTCATTAAGTTGTTTATAAAACAAATAGATTTTATTTTAAGAATATTCTGCACAATAACTTGTGTTTGATTTGTTATAAATGTATTCAATTTAACTGCAATATTATGAAATATAATACATTAGTTATATCTATCTATTGTATCTAATATGCAATGAACTTAAGACCACATTCAAACAGATTAATATAAATGATTACATTAAATGTGATTTTCAATTCATGTGAAGTAAATTGTTTTTAAGAAATGAAATATATTCTTGATAAATAAATGCAATAACATACTGTAATTATTTTATGAATACATTTCTGAGAAAAAGTTAGGATTTGGTGCATACTTGTATACTTGTAGTACAGTATTATAGAATTGTAATTTAATTATTTGAAATAAACATATTTTACACACAATAATGTGTATGAAAATTAACGTAGTAGATTTTGAAATTTCAATGTCAACTTTTAAAACAAATTTTTCTAAATGTTTTTAGTTTATTTTTAACCGATTTAGTGATTAATGTTTAGAATTTAAAATAGATTTTCTTTTAAACATTGTGTCGATTCTGTGAGGACACGATTTTTTATGTTATAATACTATGCAAAGAATTTTTATAAATTCAATCTACATTTTTACCCACTTCTATTTAATCCAATTAAAAGTACTTAACATTCGTGCAACTCTATTTATTTTGTACTTTATTATAGTGCTTAAAGTAAAATAACAATATTCTGTTATACAGTATAAATGACCGCAAAATATAATAATTGTTATTAGAAAATTGCGCAAACACTTGAACGTTTATATTTTTATACTTAACGTTTTCATAATTGAATATTATGATACTACAAATTTTGTGTGAAATACTTATTTTCAATAAAACTTTGATTAATCATTTTGAAGGACAATTTAGTATTTTGTAAACTAATTGAACAGCTAGTATACAAAACTAATTCGTAGTTAATATAAATATCTTAATTAGCATTAAAAATCTATTATATAACTATGATATGTCGACAACCAAATCAAATTCAGATGACTTTCACATTTAAATTAATTTAGTCCTTAACTTCATTCTAACATAAATTCATGTATTGCTTGAATGCTTTCAAAATTTATTGCTTTTAACTATAACTTTGATATATTTTATTGAAAATTAAAACTTGGTTAATGCTAAAAACTTAGTTTATTTATTTTATAATGATGTATTTCTTAATGAAAATTATAATTTTAGGAAATAAATGCATTAAATATAGAAATAGAAACCATTAAAATATTACTGTTATTGTATTACATAAAAAGTTAGCATTTCTTGTCTGAAATGATGACATTTAATATAAAATTCTGAATATACCAGAAAAGATTGATTTTATTTTGTCAATCAATATTTATAAAAATTATATTATGTATGGAAATAAATTTTTAATATTTAAACTTAGAAAACAAGTAATAAATAATATCTATTTATAAATGATTGATATATAATATAACAGGTATTGCAAAGATCGTGGGAAGTGGTGGATGGCGTGAATGTCTCGTTGAGACTGTGGGACACCTTTGGAGATCATGACAAAGACAGACGGTTTGCTTACGGCAGGTATGATGTGATTGAGACTTAGATTTGTGAACTAAATGACTGACGCGTTGGTGTTAACCATCAGATCGGATGTGGTATTGTTGTGCTTTTCAGTGGCAAATCCAATATCTTTGCGCAATTGTAAAGTGATTTGGTATCCGGAAATCCGGCGGTTCTGTCCGAACACACCTATAGTACTGGTCGGATGTAAAAATGATTTGCGATATATGTATAGAGACGAGAAATTCCTGTCTCTATGTCGCGAAAGGAGTCCTTTCTTCAGGTATTTGCAAATCATTTAATCAAAAGCCAAACTATTACTGCTTTTTGGATCAATTGTTTTGTTCAGCAAATGATTGCAAATTATTTTTCAAACCGGCATTCATTCCAAATAATGAATTGAATTTTGTCCCAAATGACCTTTCATTTTGTCAAATCTCCCTTTCATTTTGATCGTACAGTCAGTATATATGGAACTGTGTCTTAATCGAAGTTATCATTTTAGGGCAAACCATCTTTGCAGCAGATTTCCTGAGATCGGAAGGTACTGATCATACGTGAGACTAACTAATTGTGCTCTCATTTAAATAATCGCTAAATCACTGTCAGTATTGCATTAGATATTCATTTAATTGAATAAATACATTATTTGCAACATTTTTATTGCGCTAGACAAATTATATACTTTACATAAGCTAGTTAAATACTATTTATAATATACTCAAACAAAATTGGTTCATAGAATATCATAACAATCAGGTACAGTTATTAGTTTTCAAAGTATTGACATTAAGATGAATTTTGATAAAACTTTTAGTACTCTATAATGTGAACCAATTTGAAATGATAATGAATTTTTAAAAACGCTGTAGAAGTGAATATAATGGCACCAATCCTTAGCTCTCATGCTTAACATAATAACAATTATAATAACGATTAATTGAAATAAATTTATCACTCGTTAGGCCTTTGAAAGAGACTGATATTCTGACTCCAGAACAGGGAAGACTAGTGGCCAAGGATATAGAAGCGCCCTATTATGAGACCAGTGTTTTCACACATTTCGGAGTGAATGAAGTGTTTGAAAATGTCATAAGAGTTGCATTGATTGCAAGACGACAGCAGAGGTTTTGGATGACTAACTTGAAACACGTCCAAAGATCACTACTTCAGGAGCCATTCTGTCCGCCCCAACCACTCGCGCCTAAAGTTGTAGTTCCGGTTTCCCAGTTTGATCAGCACTTGTCATCTCTCCTCCAATACCAGGCCTACACTGACCTCATACTATCGATGGGAAAGTCTGGTATCTGTGCCCATAAGGTTGTATTGTCTGCGGCTTCCAAAGAGTTCTATAAGCTGTTGACTATGGATATCACCGCCGGAACTGAATATAACAATAGCATCGGTTATTGGGGCCGAAGTGCCAGTGACTCGAGTATTAACAGCTCGACGGACGCCTCAGTCGGCAATTTCAACACCGATACGGAACAGTTGTTGAGCACTTCACCGGCTGGTCTGGTGGACACCGGCCACACCAATAAGCTATATATGTTTCGCTGCACTCAGGGCTCATCGTCAGTGTCTGGAAGTGACGCTCCGACCGCCCACTCAAATGCCATCAAAAAGAGGTCCAATTTTCACAATCAAACAGATCTGAATTCACTCAGAACTGGTGTCCATAAGAGTCTCAATCATCCGCTGTTCCAATCGATTAGTGTAGAGCTCGGAGAGAGTGTCATAGACTATAACGGAAGACTCGCGCCAAACGTCCAGACAGTTGTCTCAATGACTAATGCCATCACTTTGGGTGCTCTTCAGAGTTATATTCGTTTCATATATTCGGCAAAACTTAATCTCGAGAACGAGACTCCAGTGTCTGAGCTCTACGACATCGCAGAGCTGTTAGGTCTGCAAGAGTTGCAAATAGTACTCAGAAATTTGGATGAACTTAAAGAATCAGACGTTTACTTCAATCAATCATTTCTCAATGACTTCAATCTCAAAATGAAGAGAAATCTTAAGAAAATATGTTTAGACGACGGCTTGTTTGCAGGTCTGACTTCTTTGACAGTATCACTCATTTATGTTCAATACTTTTAAACATTGATTTCTTTAAACAGATGTTGTGTTTAAGTTAGACGACGGAACCTGTTGTGGACATAAGGCTATACTTATGTGTAGGTGTGATGTGATGGACGCTATGTTTAGGGGAGACTTCAGAGAGAGTTCAGCCAAAGTTGTGAGTATTATATTTGGGTTTGATTTAAACTTATAATTAATTGCATTTTATGGTAAATGATTAAAACTTAGATCCCATTCCCTGGCGTTAATAAAGAGACATTTCGGCAAATGTTGTTCTATATATACACCGATAGTCTGGACACGAGTATAACTCATTCCAATTGCCTACCGGTGCTCGAATTGGCCAACAGATTATGTTTGTTACGTTTGGTGGCTTTGATCGAAAGCCATGTCATCTGCGAATTGACGCGAATGTGTGACAACGGCAGTGACATCACTGAGTCGGTGCTCCGACTGCTAGAGCCGTGTCAGATACACAACGCGGACCAACTGTCTGAGTACTGTCTGCACCAAATAGCCATCCATTACAACGAGATTTGCCATAAGAACACAAAACTGTTGCGTAATCTTCATCCGGAGAATCAGGCGTATCTGAATCGGAACCGATGGCCACCGGTTTGGTATCTAAAGGAATTTGATTACTTCGAGAGGTGTGTGCGGGAGAGGCAGTGGCAGGAGAAGCCCAAAGGTCTGAAACGGCATCGACTCAATAGTGGATGTCTTTGCTTTTCGGGCAAAAACCGGCGAAACGACTCCCGAAACAATACAAAGCATGTGTTGACTTGATTTTCACTTATATTGTACTCAAACTTATATTCTTCGGACCAATGGCTGAAATAAGGCTTAAAACTGTTTTTAGTGTAATATTATATGAATGTTGTCTTTCATTCAATTCAGAACCGCTTTCGATGTCCGTTTGACTTATATTGTACTCAAACTTATATTCTTCGGACCAATGGCTGAAATAAGGCTTAAAACTGTTTTTAGTGTAATATTATATGAATGTTGTCTTTCATTCAATTCAGAACCGCTTTCGATGTCCGACAATATTGTCTACTGTTATCTCATTAGTCATTAATCATTGGTTTTCATTATTGTATTCATATTGTGATATAAATTTATTGTTAGGATTTGTACTAAATGTTGAGTTAATGTTTGCTTTTAAGCCTTTTTTATCTTTTGCTCAATTCGTCGCTAATGTCTCATTGTTTTCAATGCCATCCCTTCTCATCATGACATCAGAACTTATTTATTAAATTTCGCTAATCTTATGATGAATTGAATGAATCAAATGCTAGAAATCCAAGTCTAATGTAAATAGAGATTAGATTTGTATTCATAATTTAAAACTCACACAAACTATAAAATATATAAATATTTTTAAGTCCTTTTATAACAGCGAACCCGAAGTATTTCTATTGAGACCAATACTGAAGTTTTTAATTATTATTTTTGTTTATACTCTTAATATTATTGAATACTGTATTCTATACATACCGTAACTTAAATTATACTCTATTTATCATTAAATAACTATTAAATTACTAAACAAATTCAATCTATTTATTATTATATATTGCGAGAAGTAGTGACAAATGATATCAATGTCTATAATAAGCACAAGTGTTTGGATATACAGTAAATATATGAATGGATTAACGTTTGGACTTATATTCATATAATGTGTTTATATAACTGGTTGTCACAGAGTTCTTGCCGAGGGGTACGTATGGAAAGTCGTGTCGTTTCTGATAGGGCTCGTACGGGTCGTCTACGAAATAAGTCGGCCTCTTGTAATAAGCGCCGACCATTTGGTCCAACACTTTGTTGTGCTCATCCGTGCAGAAGACATGCTGTTTAGCCCACCACTTGATGTGGTATGGTTTGGACCACAAGTGTTTGGCCCTCCCGGCCCGGGGTCTGATCCAAGCGCCCCAATTAAGACGGTAGAAGCGCTGCACAACCGCACGGTTTGTCTTGAAGCGACCCTTTGAGTGACTGCAGTATATGACACACCTCTTGGCCATCACCGCATCACTCAACTCATCCACTCTATGACTCAATAGATTCCCAGACACGCGATGACCACTCATTGCATTCACATGTGATATATATTTGCCACACATTTCTGTCAAAATGAGCAGACAATCAAAGTTTGATTGATTATCAAACACACTATCAATGCTATGAATGGCTAATACTTACGGCTTATTCTCATCGGAAGTGACAAAAAGCGAGACATTTGTCGATCAATTGGTCGTCAATTTGATCACAATCTCAAAGATTCACTGTCACCCTATACCTCACTTAACCAATGAGCATGGTACTTTTCTGCAATAATCTTACACAACAATATTCACAAGAATTTTGTTTGCTTTTCACAGATTTGTACACAACTTCAATGAAATCTCTAAACAATTGATTGCAAACTATAATCCAATTATATTATTAAAACATTATTATATTATAATGAAATGTATGTATAATTGAAGCAAATATATGGCAATACTTGCAATACATATACATATAAATACATTAATAGTAATGAAATAAAATCACTAAAATTGATGTCAATTATAGTGAGATTGAAGTGCATATACCGTAAGAGCACGTGATTTGTCGCAAGTATTCACAAAAACATCCATTAATTGTGTGTTTGTTTTGATTACATTTGCGTTCATTTGAGTGCCATTTGATTGCAATAATAATCGGTTTATGAGATAAAAGTCACCATTTGGTCCACACAATGGATAATACAAGCGATTGGATTGAAGCCATTGTCTGCCAAACGAGTCCAATGGATGTCCACAACGTTTGCCATCGTATGTCTCATTCATTGCAAACATGTCTTAATTGTATTGATTTGTAATCATTTATAACTGATTTGCACCCAAAAGTGATCCAAACTAACAAATTATCACTTGAGAAAGTGGTCATAGATTTGGGGTAACTATCACTCAATCCATGTGTTGTTTGAATTGACTATTAATTGGCATTCATTTGAATACAATTTATCACATTTTAGTCCATTTCTCACTAATCCTGAAACCAATGAGCGCTCAAAAGGATTGAATATTTTGACACAAATTGTCACTTCATTGCCAAATGACTTGTTGTCACTCAAAGAAGGTCTCATTTGTGTGACTAAACATTTAAACACATTTTCACATCACTCTTAATCTTCACCCAAATTAGTGCAACACTTGACTCGTTTCTATTGCGATCGACTTCGGGATCATTACTCTCTCATCTCTAACGTCTTTTCCGGACTCTTAGCCATTGTTTGTATTGATTTTGAAAAGATATTTTTAACACTAATTGTGTTGTTTTTATTTAAAGATTGATTGTTTGAATTTTGACAAAAATATGAGTCAAACAATATTTGATGGATTAGTCCAAGAGATTGCTGTCCAGCAGTACTCGGTTTCCGACCGATTCCTTGTCTTCCAGTTATTGACAAAACTGTTGACAAAATATTGCGAAGGTTTGCATGATTTTATTATTACCGGTAATTGAATGTACAGTTTATTGACCATAATTATGGTGTATTTAATGGGATTAGAGTTGAAAGCAATTGGACCGCAATTTATATACGGATTAATCCAATTGATTGAAGGCGAGCGCGACCCCAGATGTCTTCTTGTGGTCTTCAGACTCGTTAACTCTGTCGTCGAAACTTTGGATTTAGGTATTCGTAGATTTGATTTGATAACAAGATTTAAAACGCAACTATACTTCATATACCGGTATATTAATAGATCCCTATACTGAAGATGTCTTTGAAGTGATTTCCTGTTATTTTCCGGTTCTCTTTACTCCCGTAAGAATACAATTATTGTCTCTTTTAATAATGATTTTATTAAAAGTGTTTGACTTAATAGACTCCAGACGATGAATACGGCATAACTAAGGAGGACTTGTCCTACGATTTGCACCGGTGTTTCACAGCTTCTCCTCATTTCTCTCCATTTATATTTCCATTAGTTTTAGAGAAATTAGAGTCAGAGCTGTTGACTGCGAAAATTGATTCTTATAAAGTGATTGAAAACATTTGTCCCAATTATGGATACGAAAGAATCAATGAATTTGTTGCTCAGCTTTGGACAGCCATTAGGATCGATGCGCTTAAGCCTAAACTATTGGAGAGTGAGATCTCAGAGCACGCATTGAGAGCTTTAACATCAATAAGCGATACATTGGTTTTAAATCAGTCAGCGTTTG